GAGATGGATAATTAATGCCTAAGGTCTTGGGTACTGAGTTTGAATATTGCCTCTGCCTATTACCAACTGCTACCCTGGGCAAAAGAATTCGTTTTTCTAAGCTGTAAAATGGGGATAATACAAACTTTGTTGAAGAAAAATAAGCAATCTCCCCCCCCCCATGTAATTTATTACCTCTGAAAACCTGTCGGAGGGTCAACTATGAGTCGATTCCCACTACAAGGCACATAATGACAGCAATAAACTTAGAGCTTGAGTGGCCTAGTGGTAAGGAGTTGCTCTGCCCACCCTAAGGCACATGGTTCAAATCTGCCAACTGCTCCATGGAGAAAGATGGGCAATCTCCTGTCATGTGATTTCCTGCCTCTGAAAACACACTGGAGGTACAGTTATGGGTCCTTTTCAACTTAATAGTACATAACAACAAGAGTCAGCATAAGCGAGGAGGATCCTTAACAATATGTGCTTCCAACTTCAATGAAGTTATATGCATTCAACTAGGGATGATAGAAGAAGAGTTGATGCCTTTGAGCTCTGGTGCTGGAGAAGAGTATTGAATACACCACGGACTGCTGGGAGAACAGACAAGTTCGTCCTGGAGAGGGTGAAGCCAGGCTGCTCCTTGAAGGCAAGGATTCTGAAGCTTCATCTGATATACTTTGGACGTGTTGCAAGTTGAGATCAGTCCTTGGAGAGGGACATCATGCTTGGGAGAGTGGAGGGACAGCTCAAAGGAGGAAGACCCTTTATGAGATGGATTGATTCAGTCACTGGGGTAAAGGGACAGGTATGTCAGAGACAATAAGATTGGCACAGGATAGAGCAGGGTTTAGGGCTATTTTACATAGGGTTGTTACGAGTTGCAGGCGACTCAACGGCACATAACAACAACATTCAAATTTTACCTATTTTTCTTACCCATAGTAGGTGCTATACTGACTATTTGTGCTGGCTTAAAATTTGGCTTTTTTAGTCATTTTACGGGCCCTGTCTGGTCTCCAGCTACCTTAACTACAGGCACATAGTCCTATAAATCATCAACAACTGTAGGACTATGATGAGAGAGCAAGCGAGCGAGCGAGCAAGCTAGCTTCCTGGAACAAGACCCTGTTGAGAGTGAGCCCCTGGGGACAGTGGTGAAGAGGGACTGTGGCACTGCTGTGGAGAAACTGTGGCAAGGTGTAACCAGATGAGCCCTGAGATAAAGGCCATAGTGAAAGATTTTTCCTGTGTTTGCAGGGTGATGGAAGGAGAAGTTAACAGCTGAACTGAAACCAGAACCTGGACTAATTAAGGAATTTTGCCTTGGGACAGCTGAACTAAAAACTGGATTTGTACTGGGTAATATTCTTTGCCTCTCCCACGCTCCAACATATTTCCCTAATCAATCCCATTCTCGATACCACAACTGTAAGTAAAGTGTGTGAGTCAACAAGTTAACTCTGGTGGCACCATGGAGCTGAGAAATAAAAGACACCCAGATTGACAAAGGGATGGTTAAACTATCGCTATAAGCAGATGATACGATAGTGTACACAGAAAATTCTAATGACTCAACAAAAAAATTGTTAAAGCTCACAGACCAATTTAGTGGAGTGCAGGATATAAGAATAATATCCAAAAATCAGTGGTATCCTTCTACACTAACAAAGAGAACTCAGAGAAGGAAACCAAGAAAGCAATACCATTTACAAAAGTCAATCAGAAATTGAGATACGTGGTAGTGAAATTAACTAGAGACACAAAAGATCTGTACAAATAAAACTACAGAACATTTCTGCAAGACACAGTAAGACCTAAATAAATGGAAACATGTTCCCTATTCATGGATAGAAATACTCAATATTATGAAAATTACAATCCTACCAAAAGCAAACTACATGTTCAATGCAATCCCAATACAGATACCAGAACCATATTTCAAGGAGATTGAAAGGGAAACTGTCAAGTTTATTTGGAGAGGAAAGAGAACCTGAAGTGGTAAAACACTTCTGAAAAACAAAAATGAAGTGGGAGACATAACAACCTCTGACTCAAAACCTACTATACAGTGGTAGTAACCAAAACAGCATGGTACTAGTACTATGACAGACATACACCAATGAAACAGAATTGAGAACCTAGAAATAGACCCAGCTGTCTATGGTCAACTGGTAATTGACAAAGAAATAAAACCTCAAATGGGGAATGACAACCTCAACAAGTAGTTCTGGCAAAAGTGGACCAATAACTTGAAGAAAGCTGAAGCAGGATCCGTATCTCACACCATACACAAAAATCAACTCAAGGAGGGTCAGAGACATGGGAGTAAAGCCCAAATCCATAATGCTCATCAGAAACAAAATGGGATCAAGCTTGGACAGCCTAGTCAATGGTAACTGCCAGAAATGCACAACCTGGAGAGGATAAAATCGATAAATGAGACATCCTAAAGATTAAATCCCTGTACACAGTCACCTTGAAGTGGGGGAAGGGAGGGAGAGGGGGTAAAATGTGCAACAATGAATGAATGAAAATCCAACTTTCCTGTAAACTTTTGTTAAAATCACAATTAAAATTAAAAAAATTAAAGAAGTTTTCCAACAAATTGAAAAGAAAACTTTCTGACTGGAAGAAAAACCACTTTGCAATACTGTTTCAGACCAGGGTCTCATATAAAAAAATTACAGAATCCTACAGGGCCTGCACAAGAAAAAGACTGATAACACAATTACAAAACGGGCAAAAGACATGGAAAGAAATTTCACAGAGGAAGATATTTGAATGGCAAACAGACACATGAAAAAAATGTTCAAAATCACTGGCAATAAGAGAGTTGCAAATCAAACCACAGTGAGATACCATCTCACTCCAGTAGCAGTGGTAAAGTTTAACAGGACAACAAGTAATAAATGTTGGAGAGGATGTGGCAAGACACTGTTAGTGGGATTGTAAAATGGTACCACCCTTCTGGAAGGCAGTTTGGCACTTCCCCAAAAAGCTGAACATAGAAATTCCATATGACCCAACTATTGCATTGCTTGGAATAACACTCAAAAATATGAGAACTGAGGCACGAGTGGATATTTGTACACCAATGTTCATAGCAGCATTACCCACCATCGGAAGAACACCGAAACAGCCCAGATGTCCAACCACAATCACATGGGTTAAGAAATTGTGGTATATTAACACAATGGTATACTATGCAGCATGCAGGAGCAATGATTTTGAAAATCACTGCATAACTTGAGAGGGACTGGAGAGCATTATGCTAAGTGATCTAACCCAGTCCCACAAGGAAAATATTGTATAAGACCATTATTGTAGAAATGTTGATGGCCTTTGAGTTGAGCATGACTCGTAGTGACCCTATGAACAAAAGGCCTGAAGCCCCTCTACAACTGTCGACATTTATCAAAGTTCATAGAGTTTCCAGAGGCATGTTGTTTAGGAAGTGGATGCCACTCCTGCTTCCAAATAGAAAGATAGAAATGGAAAGTCAAATGTGTATGAGAATCCAAGGGGGGCATTAGCAGAGCGGTGAGTATGGGCCAGAGGTGGGTAATCATAGGATCGCATGATGTGATGTGTAGGGAGAAAGGTGGGTAAAGGAAATGGGAAAGATATGGTGTGAAAAACAATGTATATGAACTTTGTATGTAAACCAGTATAAAATAAGCTTTATTTAAAAAGAAAACCCCAAACTTAAAAAAAAATCACTCCCATAATGTATGAGAATGATTATATGAAATATAATATCAATGAAGGAAAAGGTGGGGGAAAATATTCATAATAAAGTTATCAATTATTTTTTAAAAAAGAATTAAAAATATAAAGCAAAAGACAAATTGCTCTGGGGAAAGCTGCTGAAGAGTAGCAATTCATTTGCGTTGTTTATGCTTATGGTTGTTAAAACTCAATTCAAGGATCAAAATGCTGAAGAGCAATGAAGTAAGTCTGGAGAGTAAGGTGTGCCTGACTCAGGCCATAGTCTTCACTATTACTTGCTATGCATTAGAGAGCTGGACAATGACCAAAGATGACAGAAGAAGAACTAATGCCTTTGAGTTGTGGCGCTGAAGAAGAGCATTGAACATGCCATGGGCTGCCAAGAGAATGAACAGGTTTGTCCTGGAAAGAGGATTAAACCAAGTTTCTCCATGGAGGCAAGGACTTTTAAACTCTTGTCTCACATACTTTGGGCATGTGACCAGGAGAGACCAGTTCTTGGAGAAGTGCTTCATGCTTGGAAGGATAGAGGGACAATATAAGGAAGGAAGACCCCAGAGGAGATGAAATGACACAATAACAGAGATAATAGGGGTAGGTGTGTGTGAGAGACAGTGAGAAAGGCTTAGGACAGAACAGGGTTCAGAGCTATTGTGCATAGAGTCGCTATGAGTTGCAGGTGACTCGATGGCACATAACAACAACAAACAACAACAAATCACATGGAAGATTATTACCCATATTTCCTCCAAGAGCAGGTAGTGAGTTTGAATCACTTATCTTTGTGTTGGCAGCACAGTTCCTTATTACTAGACCACCAATATTCTCTCCAATAAAGATTGTGATTGTTGTGTACTGTCGAGTCAGAACAGACCCACAACTGACCCTCCAATGGGTTTTCAAAGGCAGTTAATTGGCCAGGAGGAGAGTTCCAGTCTTTCTCCTGCAGAACAGCTGGTGGATTCGAATCACCTGTTTTAGGGATTGCAGCACAGCGTTTTACCACTAGGCTGCCAGATTAGCTCAGAGTAAACCTTAGGGGACAGTTCTACTTGGTCTCCTAAATCAAAAAGGACCTGATGACACACAACAACAGGCGTAATAGACAACAAAGACTGGAAGTGAGATTTCTTTATTACTTCAAACAAGAAAGACTATATCTTGTTGCATCCCACATCTACTTTAAAACGTCTTCCAGATACTGAGGAGTTTTGCCACAATGGACGTGTCCCAAGGTCTCTTCCTGAAGCCCATAGGGAACTCGGAGAGTTCAACTGAGTGCAGCAACTTTACGTCCTCCTGAACACTTGGTGACACACTTGGTCTTCACAGGTCAGCTCCTGCAATGGGGAGGGTGTGAGTAGACAGCACACAGGGCCTTCCTTCTGCCCAGCCCTCTGCCCCGTGGTGTCTGAGTGGCTGGTAGGGGTGGCTGAGTCCAAGGACACTTAGTTTCCTGAGCAGAGTGCATCTCCCAGCTGGCACCTGTCAGCTGATAAACCTTCTAAGTAGTATTAATTAGAATTTGACCCTTGAATTGAGCTTTAAACAACCATAAGCATAACCAAAGCAAATACATATCAGGTGGGATTTTACCACCTCCCACAATTAAAGGACAAGTTAATTTATGAAAGGAGGGTCTGGTGTGGGAAGTGTCCGAGGTCGAGGATTGGGAAGGGGGCTGGCTGATGAGCTGTCCTCCACCCTGTGGGTTTTCTGGCCCTCGAGGATTGTTGGGGACTGTGCCACAGGGACAGAGTATGAGCTACAGGGGAGTCTCCTGGACCTGCCTGTGGGGAGAGACGTGCTGAGTCTTATTCACATGGAAAGAACCACCCATCTTATCTGCCCCTTAAAGACCCTTTGATGGAGGAGACAAAAACAGTGTGAGAAGGACCACTATGCCCATTGACATTGACAGTGAACTACTGTCTGAGCCTCTAGGACCATGAGGGCTTGTACTGCAATTAAAACAATCCATCATCCCAACCAGAGGTGGTCACCATGCAAAACCATGGTGAATGTCTCACATTTATCACCAGTTGGCATTGCCTCCAGAAATAGACCTCCAGTGGGGTGGGCTGGCTCTGCAGGGCACCACAGTGAACTTAATCCTGACACTGGAGTCTGACTCCTCAGACGGATGAATGACTGAGAAGCCACATGTGAAGGAGCCACCCATTGACTGGATGCACACCTGCATGTGTGAGTAAACTGACAATTTTTCAGTATTTGAGCACTGGGTTGATAATCTGTCTTAAAGATAGAAGAATGAAATATTAAACTGGTACCAGTTCTTGGAGAGGGACTTCATGCTTGGGGGGGTGGAGGGACAGCGCAGGAGAGGAAGGCCCTCTATGAGGTGGATTGATTCAGTGACTGGGGTAATGGGGGTAGGTGTGTCGGAGACAGTGAGATTGGCACAGGACAGAGCAGAGTTTAGGGCTGTTGTACATAGGGTCGCTATGAGTTGCAGGTGACTCAACAGCACATAAACAACAACAGCCTGACATCATTTATTTAAGGATATTAGCAATTGTTCCTAATGTTTGCTGGGTTTTAATAACAGATTAACCTAAAATGTTTTGGAGTCAAGGAGATGTACCTTTTTTGTTATTATGTATTGTTGTGTTGGAACTGACCCATAGCTGACCCTCCAAGGGACAAAATTGCCCCTCTGCAGAGCAGCTGGTGGATTCAAACCGCATGCCTTTGGGATTGCAATGTAGCTTCTTGCCACTAGGCCACCAGTGCTTAATGCCTGTGATCTGTAGGCCATTTCCGGACTCAGCTGACCCCGCCCTCCCTTCCAGCTCCCACACCTGTGAGGAGGCCTGGCCGCGCCCTCCTCTGAGGCATCTAAGATCTGGGCTCAGATTCCTCCCCAGCTGGTCTTCAACGGGTTACCTGCATTCCTTAATGGCTCTAAGCTTCCTAACTCAGCATTTTGCAGTCTCTGTTTAATTGCAGTCATTCTCACAAACAGCCATATAGATTTCTTCCTGGAGTCCCCCTGAGCCAAATGAGAACGGCTTTCTGACTATATGACCACATACATTTGGCAGGAGTTCAGATAATGAGAGCGAGGTCATATTTCTTTCCTGGCTGGGTGAGCATAGCAGTCTGTCTGAGCACAGTGAGTGGGGAGATGGGGGTGGGAGCCAACTTACCAGGTGCAGCTTGTCCCCCTCAATCCACTGCTTCCAGCCACGGTTCTTCTTCTCCCCCTTCTGCACACACACGAGGACATTTCCATCCCAGGTCACTAGGGTCTGTAGTGACAGATTCACAGGCAAATCTAATGAATAGTTTGCGCTGGCAAACAAGGCCAAACTTGTGGCTACAATTCCTGACCCTTGTGGGTCCACAGGGCAGAGCACTCAGCTTGGGCCAAGGCAGGATCTTTCTAATCTCATTTCTACTTGCACGTCCAGCCAAACTGGTTTATTGTCACTTGTTTGGCTTCTAATGTTGACTTCTTAATCTCACGCTCTTTTAAGGAGTTTATTCCGCCATCATATCATATAGGAAGGGAAGAGACAGGGAGTGAGGTGCTGATGAGGTGATAAACTTGACTATATAGCGATGTAACATTTCCAGAGGGACAAAAATACCACAAAGTGAAATAGCTACCTGGGAAATAAGACCCATCAGAAGGTGCTTTGGTGATGGAGAACTTTCCACATTGAACTGTGAACTAAAATTAAAGGCTAAGTGGTCTGAATCTACGAGCTTCTCCTCAAAGCAACATGAGCAGTCTCCTGTAAACCTTGGAAGCCTTGAAGACCTTTAAAGAGACCTTGAAGGAGAATCACCATATGTTAGAACTGACTTGACAGTAAAGTTTTTGTCTGACTTTATGTTTCACTTTTTTTTTAGCACCAATCAGACACAATCCTGACTACTTTCTAGATAAAATCCCTTTAAAAAACAGGGGGAAGAAGAACCACCTCACAGCCTCATGTTGATTCTGACTCATTGTACTGCCCCTCCCTTAGGTTTCTGAGGGTGTAAATCGTCACTGGAGGAGCCTGTCTGTCTTTGTCTCTAGTTGCTGCCGGTGGATTTGAACTCCTGGAGACACACTGCCTTTTGGTCAGTGGTGTAACTTCCTTTGCACCAAACTAACAGCTCCCTGTAAATCAGTAACAAAACCATCATTGACCCAATTCACAGAATCAACAAAAGATGTGAGCCAATAGCTTGTGTGTGGGGGAAACCAAAACACAATCCCCAAAAATACCACAGAGAACTCTTCAACATAGAAATATAGATAATGCTGTCAGCCAGATGGGAAATGCAAATGAAGAGTGTTTCATTTTTAAGATTCAGTTCATCACCTGATTAAAGACGGAAAGGTTTGGGGAAGTGCTGGGTTGGAGAGCACAGGGAAGCCAGCGCTCTCATACAGGGCTAGTAAGTGTATAACTTAGTCTAACACTTTAAAGGAAAATTCTATTGTCACTGCCAGTGTATAAAATTGTATATTCTCTTTGACTTAGAACGTCTGTTCTCAGACATTTGTCTTATAGGATGGTCATTGCAAGGACCACCCGCTGCAGGACGTTAGCAAAGGTAGGGAGTTCCGATGCACACAGGAGGCGGCCCAGATGCTCAGGCCCCTGCCTTCTCCCCAGCACAGGGAATGAGCCTTCTCCTGGTCTCTGGCTTCGTCCAGGCAGCGGTGCCAGCGAATAGCAGCACAAGGGAAGCAGCAGCAGAATTTAGTTGGCAATGCACAGCCATAATGAGCTGGCTGGGAGGACGGAGAAGCCACGTGCCCACTGAACGCCATGAGCACTCACGTCCACGTGTGGGCATTTATACATTATGCCACGCCCACAGCCGCTCTTACCTTGAGCCTCGCTTTTAACCCCTCCCATTACTTGTCTAAGGAGAGTTTGAATGGTTTAGTGAGTAGGGAATTGTGTTGCCAACCCCAAAGTGGGCAGTTTGAATCTACCTGCTGGTCTTCAAGAGAAAGATGTGCCTATTGTACAGCGTGTGTGAGGATCCACGGAGGTTGGGGACCTTAAATATAGGGCCGCACATTCTGATGGGTGGAGGGAGGGATTGGTAAAGGAAAGGGAAAGGGTTTAGTGTGAAAAACAATGTATATGAACTTTATGAACTTTGTATGTAAACCAGCACCAAATAAAGTTTTATAAAAATTCCGGTGGCCTAGTGGCAAGAAGCTGCACTGCAATCCCAGAGGCTCACAGTTCCAACCCACGAGATGCTCTGTTGGAGAAGGAGGGGCAATCTCCTCCTATACCGGTCAGATCCGATTTGACGGTACTCACACACAAAATAATGAAATTTTTTTTAAAAATCCAATGTATACAAACTTTGTAAGCAAACTAGTATAAAATAAAAATATTATTAAAAAAACACCAACAACCAAAAAAAAAAAAAAAAACCACACAGAAAGATGGGCCATTGCCTCCTTTGTACTTTACAGCCTCTGAAAGCCTCCTGGGGGTTCAGTTGTGAGTCGGTTCTGACTTGATGACCATTGATCATAACTAACCTAAGTATTTGAATGTACCCAGCAGGCCTGTAGAAGAAATGCGGGGTGATTTACTTCTGTGAAGATTACCCACCACTGCCTTTGACCTATTTCTGTCTTGTAGTAATCCTCCACTGGGTTTCCAAGGCTGTAGGTACTTATGGGAGATCTTTCTCCAGAGAAATGATCAGTAGATTTGAACCACAGACTTTTCGTTTAGCAATTCAGCACAAATGCCATCAGAGCTGCTTCTGTCAATTGTGTAGCCAAGAAACCCCTAGAAGGTAGTTTTGCATCATGTGGGATCGTTATGAGTAAGAATCAATTCGATGGCAGTGGCTCCATGACCAGCTAGGAGGCTCTGGAGGAGGCCAACAGCTGCTAGCAAAAAGGTTAGAAGTTTGAGTCCAGCATAAGGTGTCTCAAAAGAGTGTCCTGATGATTAACCATCAAAAGCCAACACTGCAGACCCCAGGGGGCATCGTTCTGTGACACACAGGAGCTTCCTACCCCAGGGGGCATCGTTCTGTGACACACAAGGGCTTCCTACCCCAGGGGGCAACATTCTGTGTTGCGGCTGGTGGTTGACTTGAGGAGAAGTGGTTAGGTCCTTTTCTGTCTGGCTCACCAGGGTCCTGCAGGGTTATCCATCTCTACACCAAGCTGCATTTGCCCAGCTACCTCCTGAGAGGGCAAGGTCACCCACGTCCAGGAGACGGGATTCCCTCTGTGCCCTCATTCCTCGAGTCTGACTCTGGTGCTGGTATAATTTCTTCCCCAGCTGTGTATACCATGTCCACTCCTGTGGACACTACTATGCTACAGACCAGACACCTCCCTCCAGACCTTGTAAACCCACTTAGTGGTAAACAAGCTTATGTATTTTTTTTGGTTTTTATTGTTTTAAACTGTCATTGAGCTTTGAGATTTGCTTGGGATTATTTTTGTTTGTGTTTTGTTACCTGTTTCTCACAGATTGTCAAATCCACCTATTTCTAAAATAATATTTGACCTTGACCATATTATATATTTTATGTATGGTTTTATTCCTACTCATTTTACTCCCCAGTGTATGACGACACTGTTTGCTACAGACTGGAAGCCTCATCAATTCTGTCAGAGGGCGACTGATTAAACACGGCGTCTCACAGCAGCCATGGGAGGGAGGTGGTGCAGAAGCTCCGTCTGTCGGGCTTGCTGGCGTTGAAACAGCATCAGGGGCCTGACACACAGGGTGAGGACAGTTACTTGTGTGTGTTTTGACGTGCTCTCTGCAAGGAGGTAGAGAAACCCCTAACAGTGCTGGTCCCCAGAGAGGGAACTGAGGGGTTGGGGGAGATCAACTTCACTTCTTACTGTTTTCATTTATTTAAGCATCTGGGTACATCACTGCTGTTATTAACTGCCCTTGACTCAGCTCTGACTCATGGTGACACATGCAGAACAGGATGGAACGGTCCCACACTGTCCCCATGGTCACCAGCATGCTTGCGTTTATCACCGGCTTCCAACCTGGGGGGATCAGCTTCCAGCACTACGTGCTCTTAGTATCGAGAGGGTTTTCACAGGCTCATTTTCAGAAATAAATCACTAGGTCTTTCAGTGCAGTTTGTTTTAATGTGAAAGTTCTGCTGAAATGTGTCCACGATGGTCCCTGACTTACAGTGGGGCACCATTATGATCACTCTGTCCTTAGCCAATTCTCACAGACATTGAGTATCTCTTTTTTTCCTAGTTTTCATTATTTTTGCCTTTTATTATTGGATCCAATCTCTAAACATCTGAAAGTGGTAACAGCAACACATTATATCTTGTATGTGATAAATATTACTAGTGGTAAGATGCATAAGAACAACAAAAATCTCCCATAGCTGTATGTGTAGTTCATTGACATTTAAAAATATCTTTAGTCCAGAACTATTCTGCATTTGCAATACTGGTGGCACAGCTTCCAGCATTTTGACAACAACGCACACGGGTACAAGATGACAAACCAACAGACAGGTGTGAATGCACAAATTACCATGCCCCAAATTAATTTTAAAATAAAATACCACAAACTTTCCAAAGAAAATAAAAATAAGATCCTATTTCAGAGTCATCCTAAGCCCTATCAATCTGGGTAGGGTTCAAGTTCAAAGAACATTCTTGCATTTCTGGGAGGGAGTTGTCTGGAATGCTCCCTTGTTGTTGCCCAATGTCAACCTTACACTCCAAGTTCTCAAACAGACGGGAAAGTTTGTAAGGTAAGGAGTTCATCTATTCCTCCCACCTCACATTGTCTGCCTTTGTCTTATACATCATGACTACTGCACACTTGTTGGTTGAATTAATGTCTGGCTCCCTCAATAAACTGTAAGCTCCGTGAAAGAAAAGCCTACGTCAGCCATCCATTCTGAATCCTCACACCCAGCACGGTAGCATATGCGAGGGGCTACTGAGATGGTTGAAGGAACCCAAGATTGAATGCCGTTGGTGGCATGGGATTTGCTTCAGGTCGGCCCTACATCTTAAAAAGCTCCAGATCCTTTTATTCCTCCTTTGCTTACAAGTTTAGTAGAAATATCAGCCAACCCCTTCTTACTAAACCTCAATAATTGCTTGTGGCCACTTCATTAAGCCCATTCTGGTCCCCTTTGTCTGACTTTTTCCAGGTTGCTCTCTCATTGTCAAACAATTGTGACTGCTCAAAGAATGCACAAGAGAAAACATTAGCGTGGCTCAGTACCTTCACATCCCGGACGTCAAGGTCTTTCGTGTCCTCATGAAACTCCTTTCCAACTGTGAAATTCACTTCATTGCGGAATACGCTTAAGTTTTCTCCCTTAAATTGATCACCATTTTGCTCAATTTCCTCCTGACAAATTTCATGTTGGTTGCCCTTCATGTACTCATCACACTTCGTTCTCTTTGTAAAAGTCGCCTTGTCCTTGATGAATATTCTTTTGGTTTTTATCTTAAAGTGATCACCATTTTGCTCAATGATCTTTATGTGACCCAGTATTTTGAAGACCTTGCGGGTGGTGGAATCCATATCTGTTGGCAAAGAAAATTATGGAGGTTAGGATGTACTTGCTCATTTTTATTTATTTGTTTACTTTACACAAGGCTAAGCATTCAGGACTGCAGGCACATACCACAGGCAGGCCACATTTTCTTTGCTCAAGTGTGAGATAAGAGCTGTCTTATGCAGGCTGTGGTATCAGAGAACTTGATGATTGGCTTGAGTGTCAAATGTACCATGGACTGCCAAGAGTACAAAATAGGGTTATCCTGGAAAAGGTAAAACCAAGTTTCTCTTTGGAGGCAAAGATTTTGAAGGTCCATATCGCAAACTTTAAACACGTGGCCGGGAGAGATCAGTCCTTGGAGAAGGACAACATGCTTGGAAGGGTGAAGGGACAGTGCAAGAAGAGGAAGACCCCAGATGAGATGGATTGACATAGTAAATAGTGCAATGTGGGTAGGTATGTTGGAGACAGTGAGACTGGCTCAGGATAGAGCGGAGTTCAGAGATATTGTACATAGGGTAACTGAGTCACAGGTGACTCGATGACACATAACAACAACAAATCCCCACTTGAGGAATAATCTCCAGCTACCTTAACTGCAAACACATGATCTCACAAATCATCAACAGCTGTAGGATCAATATAAGAGAGCTCTCTCCACACTGTGGAGTGTGTGAATACACCAACACAAGAGCATCAGCCTGACTTGTGTCAACTGTGTGAAGATGTCTGGACCAAGAAATCATGTACAGTAAACTAAGCATCCAGTTGCATCCAGCCTGGCCCATTGCTCATTAGTTTCTATTCAAATAATGTCTGCATATCCGTAGTCAGGGAACTTTGGTTGTCCAGTAACAAAAAGCTGTGCTACATTTCTGAGGCTTGCAGTTCAAAGCCACCAGCAGCTCCGTGGGGAAAAAGTAGACAATCTGCTCCTGTGCGATTAGCTGCCTCTGAAAACACACTGGAGGGTCAGCTCTGGGTTGGTTCTGACTCTATGGTACAGAACAACATACCTACAATCACATGAGTTATTCCTCTGATGGATCTGAGTTTTTAGAGGACCTTCTAACAAATCACTGCCTTTAAAAGACCATAGAGGACTCAGTGAACTGAACCACCAATGCAGTAGTCAGTGTTAGAAATTATGGGCTCTTAGAGCTGATTAAGCATTTGGGACTATGTTGACCTGAGACTTATTATAAATAGTGTATTTTTTT